TCACTGGCGGATATATTGCATAAGCTGCAGGCAAGCAATCACTTGCCAAGAACACTGACGCCAGAAAACATTGATAATTCGATTAAGACTCTAGTCATGATACTAGAGAATCTAAAGCAAACGCAAACAATTGTGCCAAATCCAGCACAACACCATGAAAGACCTGCTGCCTCGCAGGACTATGACTATAGCACGGGTAGCGAAGAGGTGAATGGTGGCGCGCCTGACCTTTCCAGCGTGCTGTCACCGGTTTTACCAAGTGAGTGGTGAAATGGGTGTTTGAAGTAATTGTTATGTGTATTTTAATGAAAACATTTTAATTGGAATACTTTGATGTTTTCTTGTTGTTTTTGTTGCAGACAAGCATCCTGGACCGAGCACAGGACGTGCTGGCATCGATTATCCCAACTTAGCTGACATACCCCAAACCAATTTCAATTGCGCAGAACAGCGGTATAAAGGTTTCTTCGGTGACCCTGAAACGAATTGCCAAGTGTGGCACTACTGCGATTTAAATGGCGGCAAAGCATCATTCCTCTGTCCTAATGGCACCATTTTCAGTCAGGTAGGTGCAATTCTCAATACACATGACATGTGTATGTATGAACGAGTATATTATCATAAAAATTGAATATAAAATTTCAGAATAGTTACTTGAATTAAAAGCCGGATGAATTCGATAAATTAATATTTCCATTTGCAGATCGCCCTTACATGTGACTGGTGGTTCAATGTGAAATGCTCCACAACCGCACAACTGTACGTACTGAACGAACGACTGTACAAATACATTTTGCCATTTACTCCGAAATTCCCAGAAGACTATAGTGGGCCACTTGTTGATAAGTATGCACAAATATGAGTACACCATCAATCTGCCCACTAGCTAATTTAGCTTACCTTCCCCCTTGCAGGTATTTAGCAATGAAATTCCAGGAAATGGAGGAAAAAATGCGAATTGAAAAGGAGAAAGTGGAAAAGTCAGCAATCGCTGCAGCAATTGCAGCCACATCAGCTACACAAACGAGCAATCATATCGAAAGCGAAGAAGTCAATGGCGTGCGCGACGCGGAGAATGTGAATAATGCTGCCGACGACGACGTCGAAGACACAGAAGTGACCACAGTGGCCGACTTACGCAATTTACCGAGAACATTGAGTGCGCCTAATAGGCACGGTGTTATCAATGCGTACGTTAGTGAGCAAAGCTCTGAGCGTAATTTGCTAATCGACGATGAGGTCGATGATATATCGCAACGTGGCAGCATTGATACGTTCGAAAGCTCCACTATACCCACAGCATCGGCTCCTACAGTAGCCAAGAATGATGGCATGCTTGCGCTTAGCCAACAACCCATTGTGGTCTCATCCACACAAGGACCCGACTATGACGATGTGAGTGCAGATGAGCGGCGTATACCAGCGCATAATGTACGAAATGTTGAAGAAGCAACTAGTAGAACGTTGACGACAGAGACTGTACAGCGGCCACCAGAGGAGACGACGACAACGCAATCACAAACGAAGCTGCGGCAAAATGAAAATCAAGAACAAATACAAGCATCGCCCAAGCCAGTGCGTCAAACGACAAATATCGATGTGGAAAAAGTGGAAGTAATCGAAATTAAAGCGGAAGGGGCAGCTGGTCAGATGGGACCGAAAATGTACTATGGCGCTGAGAGTGCAAAGGATGTGCGATAGATGTTAAGTAGGAGTTGATGGTTGAGGTGAAGGTGAAGGTTAGGAAAACTGGGGGCAAATGTGTTTTTGTAAATGTAATTTATTTGCACCGAAGTGCAGTTATCAAGCTGATTGCTACATAAATACGTATGTATGTACATACGTATGTATGTATAATTGTATTTAGTTTTATATGTTTAGTGAATTTAAAGTAAAGTACGAAGGAAAGCCATTGGGAATGCAATTTAAGAGATAATCAGAATGACATTTTTGATTGCTATTTCAATATTTTTTCATATTAAATTTTTAATTTTTGTAGAATAACAATTAAAAGGGATTTCTAGAACTAATTTTTTTTTTAGAAAATTGGTTATGAACCTGTTAAATAATGATTAATAATCATGACTGTTAATCAAAGCATGTTGTGTTTGGGTAACCGTTTAATGATTAAATACCATTATTTGCACCTTTTTAATTACTTTCAAAAAAGATAATTAAACAATAATTTTAATTACATGATTAATGTGATTATTTGTGTCCTTTACAAAATTCTTTCTGAAAGTATTAATAAATGGCAAAGACAGTTGACAATGTCTCTAAGAAATCATTCCTTACTTGTACAAGTGTTTAATCGTACAGTGAATTTGGTTTCAGTTTTTTAATACTAACTTTTTAAAATTTTGCCTGCCAAACACAGCTTTATGTATTTGGAAAAATAATTAAAAATAATCATAAATGTAATTAGAAATAATAAAATAATTAGAAATAATCAAATAATTAAAAATATTCAAACAATTAAAAATAATCAAATAATTGAAAAAAAAAATATTTGATTAAATTTGATTTTAATTATTTGATTGTTTCTGAATATTTTTGATCATGGCAATTAACCATGGTTAGTTTTGATTATTCTTAATTATTATTGATTATTGATTGCTGGGTTATGTAAGAAAATTAAAATAATCATTAAAATTAAAAAATGCAAAAAATTAATGATTACTAATCGTAATTGAAATTTAACAGCTCTGTTAGGAACTTATTTAAATTGATGCTTGGTTAATGATTATATCTGCCATTTGCCATATTCATTAACTGCTTATTTTTGTATTTATTTGCAAAAAAAAAAATAAAACCTTAGTTTATAGTAATGTAGATGATGCATAGTTCAATAGCGATGTACATATATACATTTGTATGTATACTAAATAAGAATTATAATTTTATAAATAAAAAAATATAAAAAAACGATGGAACTAGAACTACTAAACCCTTCCTACATTGGCTAGTCTATCAATCGCTGTCTCCAGCAAAAAAAAAGTGAGATTCCCACGGGGTAGAACCAACGGCAATTGTCTGAGTGGTCGACATTCGTCAGTAATCTTTAGGGACAAAGACAGCAAACCAAGAAGAATTAAACAGGGGGTACCATAGGGTGGTGACCTATCCCCGCTATTTTTAATTATTACATTTCAAAACTACCTCAATCACCATAGGGAGTCACTATTGTCTCTTTATGCTGACGACTGCCGGATAATGGCGTCTGGGAATGGAATTGATGACTTGTACTCGAAAGTAAACGGTTATCTCGCCGAGCTTTCTCACTTCTTCACTGCAAAGAACCTACAAAATTCTCGGCAACCTTATTCACCACCTCGACGAAGGAGGTCAGACTCCAACTGGGTATTCACGTCTATGGCGAATCAATACCCACAGTGAATAACCCGAGGAACCTCGGAGTAACCTTCGACAGTCTGCTCTCAGAAACGCAACAATGTCCCCAAGTCGCCGGCAACACTTGGAGAAAAGACAAAGAAACGTTGTTGGCAACATACAAGGCAATTGGCCGGCCGGTTCTAAACTATACAGCGCCCGTGTGCTTGGCGGGGACCACCAGGACGCAGTGGATGAAGCACAGACCTGTAAGAACACGGCATTTCGGACAGCGAGCGGTTGCCTTCTGATGTCCCCCCAACACTATCTACACGACGAGGTCCAGATGCTCCCCATCAAGGAGCATAACACCATGCTTTGCAGGCTGTTTCTAGTGGGAAGCCATAGACGTGGTCAAGCAAATAGACAACTGCTTGCAGAAGAGCCCTCGCCAAGGCATGTCAGGAGGCACCTCTACGAATTGCCGGATCTTGTTCTGAAATACGTTAGAGTTAAATTGAAGGAGCTTCATGTGGTTCAGGAGACACGTTGTTATGCGGGGAGTGAGGGATGTGTGTTGCCTTGGCACGTCAGGAGGCATCTCTACGAACGGACGGACGAAGTCCAGAGGTTCATAAAACAACCTCTGGACCCAACTACATACCGACAGGCCCATAACGGCATTCACAGCGAGTCGGTCTCGAGTTATGTGAATGCTGTTCTGGGCACACAACCACCCGACGTGGACGGGACAGAACTTTGTCTGCCTCGGGAGCCCAACTTCGCTCTGGCTAATGCAGCAGGTTAAACCCATACCTCAGCAGAATAAACGAAGGTGTGTCCAACCAATGCCCTATGGACAGATCCTATTGAAGTTGGGCACTTCCTGGGCCTTCCCTTAGCTGAAACAGACGACAACGTTGATGGATGAACCGACCCGAGCGGTGCTTGGTAGCCGGTAAAACAACAACAACAGCTTATAATTGCGGAACTTACTTATCGTTCGTGACATCAAGTCGGTCTGTTGAAGAAGAATCTAAAGCGTTACCGATTTTAGATATGTGGAAGCTTAGCAGGCCGGCAAATTGCGTCATACTTGTTTAGTTCTCTTTGCTTAAATTGCTACCGACCAACAATTTGAGGACCTGCTTGCGGATTTGTACTTTAGTAACAGTTGCTGTTATATATGCGGAGAAGGAAAGCAAGCTGTAACCCTTAGTTTTTATGTCGATATTGGTGTATGAAAACGGGTCGATCGAGCAGTCGTCAGTATGAGACCGGTGGAACTTTCTCTGGCGGCTGAGATGCAGAAGTTAAACAGCAGTGGGTAGAGACTCCACTCTGTGGAACACACCCTCTTTGATTCCGCCCTAGAGTTTTAAAATATTTTTAACCGACTTCCAAAAAAGGAGGAGGTTATCAGTTCGTCGGAATATTTTTTTTTTATGTATGTTACCGTATAACTTTGGACCACGTCAACCGATTTCGGTAATTCTTTTTGCATACTAATCTGGTTAAGAGAATTGAAGTCGGTTTTTTTTTGCTAAAACTTACTTGTGTTTTTACTTTTTTCTTCAAAACTTGAGGCAAGTGCATTTGCGGGCGGCTTTTAAAACTAAAACTCTTCTTGGATGCATTAAAAATGCTTGTGCTATATTTATGTGACTTACCTTCTGTGCTTTGCGTAAATTCTCCCGCGACATTTTCACCGATGCCAAAATGTTTTCAATTTCATCTCTCATTCCTTCATTCTATAATGTAGACAAAAAAAAAGAAAATTATTATCTCATCGGAATAATCAACACATTAACCCAGCCTTCCCCACTGATGCCCACCTCAGTTGCCAATAGAATCCAGCGATGTCCATTATGTTCTGTTTTTGCACATAACCCACAACAAACTGATTGACATGTGCGACAAAAACGATCCTTGACTCGCTTGTGGTGTTTATGACAAGTTGTGGCCCGCGGTATTTTTGAATTTTTACTCGGATTTCTTCCATCGTCCAGCGGTACGAATGCATGTCGTTTCAGTGCCTTTCCGTACATATGAATAGAATCATAGCAGATGCGACAATAGTGCACGGTACATTGACGACAAAAGCCCACTGCCGGCTCTAATTCACACTCCGAGCATCGTAAGATAACCGCTTGTAGCAATGCCTGCGCGCCAGAAGCTAATGTACGATTGGCACTGTTGGAAGGTGACGGCGGACTTTGGCCAGATATCATTAGCGAATTATTTGCCGAACTCTCGCGACGATAGAATCGCAAATGATTCAATTCGCCAATTAAAAAGAAATTCATGTAAAAGAAATCGCGTACATTGAAATTTTCATGTCGCTGCTGGACATGGTGGCGTTGATTTTGCTGCAATCCAATACAACTCAGTGATATTGATGGTGGATTGCGTTTGTCGATGATAATTGGATGCTGACAAATGCTACAAACAAGATTCTGATGATTTTGATAAATGCAATTTTCGCACATATTATGTCCACAGGAGAGTAGAAATGGGCGATTGCTTTTGACGTGCAAATCTGTGAAAAAACGGAAGATAATCGTGAGAAAATTTAGGCTCCCATGTATGTCATTAAGGTCTTTGAAAATCAAGTCCTATTCTGATTAGTGACATTTTGACAAAATGGCAAACGCAACGGAAATGGTTGGGACGGAAACAAGTGTTTCTTAAATGTATGCACATGCTATTAATCTAATAAAAACATGCTAATAGCAGGTTCAAGAATAAGATTTAAATTAAGACCAATCATCTTCCAATGCAATTCATAAGACAATTGTCAATTCTGGCAACTATCTACCTTTGTGCACTCAAAGACGAATTTTAGGCAAAACAATTAATTTTGAAGGCAAATTATTTTTGTGTTGTACCCTATATGCTCTCGTTTTCATAAAAACTTTTGCTAAAATAATCTGCATAGACATTTTAAAAAATATTAAGATCTGTGAAGTAAACGTTTCCATGACAAAAATTACAGCTTATTACAGCAGTCATTTATCGAGAGGTTACTACTGAAATAGGGAAAATTAACGCATTTTAAAATTTATATGGTTTTCCTCTTTAACATAAACTAATAAATATAAGAAAATTAGACAAAAAATAAATGAAATAAAGCAAAAATATTTTTAACAAGTAAAGAAGTATAAGTTCGGGCGAAACCGAATTTTATATACCCCGCGCAGGTGTCAACAATCGTCGTTCCAAATTTCTCAAAACTACCTAAAAGTTTATAACAGTCTTATTTATTGGTGAGAGATTGTTGTAAGTATTAACTTGGAGTAAATGAACGTCCTCAGTTATTGAAAACGTCCTCAGTTATTGAAATATCGGAAAATTACCGTTATACGGTAAGCCGATGCAATTTCAGTTCGATTTGAATAATTTTCAGCGAATTAATTTCTAATGCACCTAGTTTCCAAAAATTTTATAATAATATTATTTTGTACCAAAACTCTACTTCACATAATAAACTTCAACAATTTGGATCAAATATTTACAGAAATATCATAGTTTTTGCATTTTTCGAAAATACCGTTATATGGTTACAGTCCGATTTTAACCATTTTCAATCGCAACCTACCTTGGATAAAGGGATGCCTATATACCAAATTTCGTTAAGATATCTCATTTTTTGCTCGAGTTATCGTGTACACGGACAGACGGACGGACGGAAAGACGGAAAGACAAACATGGCTTAATCGACTTCTATTTTCATTCTGATCATTTATGTATACATTTGTCTATATCTATCTCGATTTTCTTTAGGCTGTTGCAAACAGCCGTTATGCGAACAAAGTTATAATACCCTTGCGCATACATGAAATAAATGTTTTTAAATAAAAATTAAAAGAAAATTTACTTAAAAAGGAACCAAAAACAAAATAAGACCGTAAAAAATATATTAAATCAAACAAAAATATGTTTTAATTCAAAACAACAAAATATAAATATTGAAGGAAAATAAAATTAACAAAAGAAAAGCATATTAAAATCAAAATAATAAACAATGACTAAATAAGTTTCTAAAAATTAAGTGAAATAAACAAGTTTTCTTTTTTTTAAATAAAATCAAAAAATTAAAATAAAAGTAAATTAAAAAAAGAAATTAATTAAAGAAATAAAAAAATAAAATAAGTTCCTAAAACTTGTTTTTTGCTATTGATTGGCCTGATAATAAATCATATTCAACAACATTATTGGGCTTGAGTCCATTTTGAATAAAAATTATTGTGGAAAATCAACAATAGTTATTAAATGGTAGAAGTTATCGCCGATATTTCGGAGATCGCCGCATCTCCGCATCAGACTTCTTCACCGCGGACACTAGGATATTAACCGCAATCTACCGGTATATCGGAATTTTCGTTACTAATCAATCTTGTTATGCATATAGTTTTCGATATATTTATCGCTATTTTATCGATATAATAACCGGTATTGTTATCGATATAATTATCGGCCTTTTTATCGATATAATAAACGATATTGTTATAGATCATCGTTTAAAGTACAAAACCGCGTATCGTCTTCTGCAAAACTGCGTAACTGACATTGCACTTTAAACGACGAGATATATTTATCAACATATTCATCGATACTGTTATCAAAATTGAGTTCAACATAGTTTTCGATATTAGTATCGATATTGTTGATCGGTTTGCCATCGGTATATTTACCGATATTGTTATCGGTATATTTATCGATACATTTAAAAGTGATAACTAGGTGCTTATATCGGGTACGGTTCGGTTATTTGTACAATTATTTGTATTGATTTTGTATTGACACATCGTCACCCTTATGCCAGAAGCATGAATGTGCAAATTTATCAGTTTTGAATTATTGGGTTGATTTGATTAACGTTTCAATGTTATACCAATACCCAGAAAACCATGCGTACACGGAAACCAGATATTTTACAATTTGAAACATGATAAATAATTTGCTAATTTGTATTTGGTATGATAATTTGTATCATGATTTGAATTGCATAAATGTAGAGTTGTCTGGTAAAAAAAAAATTTCAAACTTAAGGTCCCAAAATATCCATTTTTACACATTAATGTTTTTGGAATACGGGCGACGATATGTATAAGTGTAGTCAAAGGCTTAAAATTTTATGTTTTTAGGGGGCTCGCTGAGGAGCCTTGCAGTTGGAGACGAAAGGGGAGCGTGTCATTGAATTCTTTGTTCTTTGATTTTTCAAACTGAAAAGGTGGGCGGTGCCACGCTTTCTTCATATTTTGGTACATGCCTCGAATCTATTCGGAACATTTCCATTTACTCCGTCTAATGGTTGGGGTTTTAGGTGCGGCACCCTCCTACTTAGCAAGGTTTATAATCTCGCGGCTGAAGGCCCCCTCTGCACAAAGAAGTTCTATTCAAAAATACTGTGGTCAGCATAGCCGGAGTTGGGCTAATAAGAGGTACTTTTTCTAAACGCAGTATAATGCCGCAATGCAATTTTCAAATATGCAAGCCGAGGGGCTGCAATGGGGAGATTGGGGAAGGATCACTTTTCTTAAAGCTTGGCCTGTGCTCTTTTAATTGGTAGTGTTACGTGCCACACCCCCTCCCCTTCCGCTACTCATCTCAAAATCATTGTACAAATAACCGAACATTTCGGGGCAAATAACCAAATATTTGGGCACCGTTTATGAATTTGTACAACGATTTTGGGTTGCTGTGCCCAAGCGCGTGAATCGAATCAAAAAACTTTTACACACACTTGTAGACAACAGTTCACGCTTTATTACAAAAATTTAATTTACTAAATCTGTGCACTAATTTAGCAATAATGTCGGTTGGAAGCATGGTATTTGTTGCAAATTTTTGTTATAAATTTGTATATACATTTTTATATACAAGATATTTTTATAAAACACCCAGTAACCAAAATAGACATCAATGGGCAGCCCCAGGTTTACCACACAGAAAGGGAATTCTAGTTACCTCATCCTTTCCCAAGGTTACATCACTGGGGCGGTGCAAAAGGTGTTCAGCCGCCCTTCTTCGGACGCAAGTTTAACTTTGTTTTTTCCTTGCAAAAAATCTAAATCTAAAAATCTAAAATTCCCCTATTTTCAAACAGCTCCCCAGATCGTTGTACAAATAGCTAAACATTTCCCAAATATTTTCCCTTCTATGCTTTATGTACTGTATTTATAGCTTGAGTATTTGTGTGGGTGCTTAAAACCGGGAAATACTGTACATAACAAAATGAATGCGGCTTCTTTTTTGATGCACTTGCAACGCAACACTTCCCAATTATCAAATATATATGTATAATAATAAATACCGTCTCGGGGAGCATCCCACCAAAACTTACCGCCCATACGGAGATCATAGTTGGTTGAATATTCGCTGCGACATTTGGGACAGCAATGTGTATTCCGTAATGCAGTAGCCACGAATTTCCGATCAAACAATTTTGCCGGCTGACTTGAGATATGAATTTTTTCGCAAGCACTTGTATTTACAATCGGCGGGCCCATTCTTTCCCGAGCATTGATCTTTTTCGATTCATTTCGAATCGTAAACATTTTTTCTGCACTAAATCGAACTTTACTGAGGTCTAATTTGAGAAATTTTCCAATTTCAGCACTCCCAAAACAAACGGTAAAAATTAAATGGCGTGCAAATGCACATATGATTGTAAATGCGAACGAGTGACGAAAACAAAAGACCGACAATTTACTGTTTGCTGGAATGAAATGGCAAATGGAACACTTGTAGCAAACTGCAGGGTTGCATTCATATATGGGAAATATTTGTGTTATGCAATGTGGAACAAATTAATTTTTTCGAACTAAAATTAAAAAATTTATACAATTTATTCTTTGCCTATGTTTTACTATTAGCAATTTCAAGGCAAGCATAAGGAGCTTTTTTATGAAATTCGGTGGGATTTTGTTGCATATTATCATTAAAGTGTCAAACACACCACACAAACGATTTGCCAAACAAGACGAAATTTCCATTTAGTTCAAACCTGTTGTACGGTGTATTGTGGCGCTAGACGGTTGGACAAACCACTTGAAGATTTGAACAAAAATCCAATTTTATTTTTTTTCTGGCCGGCATGTTGAAGTTTGATCAAACAGCTTGTGTAGTGTATGGTAAAAACGCCTCATTCGCAATCGAATTTTCACCGATTGAGGACGTTATGAGCGAAATACACCACACAAGCGGTTTGGCAAACCTACACTTTTTTAATCCGCCATACACCAAACATGGCTCGTTCAAGCCGAGAATTTTAGCTTTCTTTCGGTTCATAGCATAAAATTCCCTGCTTGGTCGAGTTATGCCTGTATGGTGTATGGCAAAAGGAAAAAATTTGATTTAAAGCAGGTTTGTCAAACTACTAGTGTGGTATATTGGCGCTTTAAGGGCAAAATTTAAGAAAGCCAATTTTTTTATACCTGAATCGGAAGAAAACTAATACTCTCTGCTAGAACGTGTCATGCTTGTAAATGTCAGACTTTGTTCTGGACCGTGATCCAAATACGCTTTTAAGGCACCTTTAAGGCGTGGTTAAACGTGGCAATGCAAGTGCTTATTCTACGAATTTTGCTCTCAAAACGCGAAATCGTAAGTGCACTTTCCTGCGTAATCAGCCAGGGAGTCCTTTTTGCAGATTTCCAGAGCTCACTTTCGGAAATAAAAATTGCAAGGTGCAACTGCAACTGAAATTATACAAATCGCTTTCGCTCGTGCTTACTTGCAATTTTCATTTTTGCTGCAAGTTCTGTCAAACCAATCGAGTTTTATAGAAATGTTGAATACTATCTGAAAAATAGGCATTTTGTAATGGTTTTGTATACCTTTTAGCAGGTTTAGTAAATTTTTCTGGCCATTAAATTTGTTATAAGCGTAAAAATGCCTAGAACATAGTTGAAAGTGCACTTATTCACAGTGTAAACAGATGAAAAGTAGTATCGGAAAGTTTGTTTTCCAGAAATAAGAACTGCTTTGGAAAGCCATTTTACATGCAAGGTGTAACTGCTCGTGCAATCTCTCTTGGAAATACTTCAGTCTGATAGACTTTTGAAAAGGACTCGCACTGGCCACGTCTAAGAGCTACTTTATATTGCTATATATGTATGCAGGGTTGCCACTGACGAAAAAAAATATTTACCATCCACTTGAGAAAAATCCACCAAATCTGGAAATATCTACCAATACATTTTTATAGTTATTTTAATAGTAATTAAAATTGCTTTTAAGGAGCTTTTTATTTAACTAATTATACGGTATTTGAGTCATATTATTGGCATAT